AACTTCAAGACCTCAAGGCTAACCCTATAATCACCCATGAAGAAAATCCTCAAGATTTGGATTGCACAATCCAAACCTTGAGGATTCCCTCTACGTGTTTACCGATCCTTATAGTAATTGATATGATCAAAAACTATAACCAAAAATATAAAAGCATTAAATGCAATGAAGTATCTACATTATTTTTTAGTATATCTTATTATTCTTTCTATATCTAGAATATACTTCACAATACACAGAAAAAATATTTTCAATATTATACAAATTAAAATATAATTGTTAAATAATGAATAATAGTAATTGAAATTTTTTCTCGGTATTGTACAGTTTTACATTATGTAGGTATTTTGATCATACCTTACCAAAAATAATTAAAAATAATAAAATAATATTGGTCGGACTTTTTTTTCAGGTTTAAATATTTACATAATTTATGATTAAATATCTAAAAGTAGGCTGTGTACACATCGGTGAAATTTTATAAGCAAAATGAACGATATAACGATAATAAATGAACGGCTACAGAAATTATTTTGGGTTAACTAGCATTAAATTTGTAACAAAACAAGTGACAAGATTAGACTGCTGAATACGTGAAAAACAAAATAAAATTTATGTACATCGCAGATATTATACAAAATGTAGTAAACTCAAACAACTGGAATATGATAAAATAGTGCTGTTGAAATGTTTGTTATTTAACAGAAAAAAATGCATAAATTAATATATTTTAATGTCATTACAAATGAAACATTAATAATACAAGTATTTCATAGGAGATATTTTGGGTTCAATCACTTGTGATGTGAATTGAGACAAATAAAATGGGCGGAACTCTTTTTGCTCAAAAATGACCTTCCTCTTTTTGCCCACGTCCTCTTTTAGACCAAAAATGAAAAAAACAGTTTCCTCTTTTCGCCCAAAAATAATTGTATTCTTTTCACCCATGGTTTCACGTTTTACATTTTGGAAACCCCTTTCTCAAAATTAATAATTTTTAAAAAATCATATTTGATATTCGATAAAATCACGTTTTTGATTGTTATTAATATAGTCAGTCGAGAAAAGTGTATAAAGGTGCCGACTCTTCTATCGAAATATATAGTTTAAAACTCTTTAATAAACGTAATAATTACTTAAAAGTCATAATTAATATGAATATTTGTATTATTTTACAACAACAAAACAAACTATTTATTTAAGTAGTAACCTGATCAAATTACTTATTAGTTATTTTACATCGATAACACTATTTTAAATACTTATTTTTAACACTTATTAAATTATTATTAATTATTATTAATAATTATATATTTTTCTATTTTTTTATTTGATTATTATATGATTTTTTTAAAAATTATTAATTTTGAGACAGTGGTTTCCAAAATGTAAAACGTGAAACCATGGGCGAAAAGAATACAATTATTTTTGGGCGAAAAGAGGAAACTGTTTTTTCATTTTTGGTCGAAAAGAGAACGTGGGCAAAAAGAGGAAGGTCATTTTTGGGCGAAAGGAGTACCGCCCAATAAAATACTTTATTAACTTTTTTGTTTTAATTAGAGTATAGGCTGTGGTCATGTTTGTAACAAATAAGTAAATTCATAATTTCACGTGAATTTTTTATATTACTCTCATTAAAATTTAAGAACACATAATTAATAATTAAAAATTATAATTCTCCTTTGTAAACACTTTGCTCTGAGATTATTCTACGTTTGATAACTTGGTATAAGCTCTTAAAAAAAAATATATATATATATATCAGTAAGAAAATATATGAATCACTAATATTTCCTAAAATATGTTATGTATAATAGATGCTCGAATATATGTATACTGAAAATGAGAAAAGTATGTCAGCCCGTGAGAAAATAAAATACGTTTATTAAACACGGAAATAAATATACACAAAAACTAAAAAAAAAACTTCAAACAAAAAATCATTCAACAGTCTTATTGACAATGTTCTATCTGAAAAATCGATTTTAGAATTTCTCAATGACTTGCGACCAAGATACATTATTACTTAAAAATTAGGACAATAAATCTAAAAACGCAATGGACCAATAAACTTATTTTATGATTCAGAAAAAAATATTTTTATTTTATAACAAATAGGTTAGGCTGTGGAAATCATCTATACTAACTATATACATCGTAATACTAAATAAAATATTAGATACATATACGTAATATTAATTTATAGATAAATTATATATACATATTGATTTATAGAGTTTAATTAAAATATTTTTGATTATATGGATATGAATAATTTTGCACTTACCAACAGTTGCTCCGTATAATTTTTTCGAACACTTCAAAAATATTAAACGTACCAATGAATTAGTGTTACAAGTTAACCGGACAAAAAGTTTAAGCGAAAAAATTGCAGGTTCATCAAATAAGTTTTTAACAAACAAAATGCATAGACTTGTAACAGCGAACGGGTAATAAAGCAGGGGACGAGTTCAAATTATCATGGGTTGGATCGACGTGAATGAAATAATTCGAAACGTACAGAAAACGCGCGAACAAGGGTCGACGACCTATAGCAACTACGATAGTTATGTCGAGCAAAAAGGGTTGGAAAACATTGCGCAACGAATGGAACATTTATTTTTTATCATGCCCTTGCCCGAATGGTCAACGTCAATGGTGTTTTGCGCGCCAAAAGCAGCTGCGGTAATAATAGGCGGAGGGAAAAAAATACCGTCCGCGCCGCCGCCGCCGCCGCCGCCGCCGCGTGCACGTAGCGGACCGCATACCTGGAACACCGGCGGCGGTGGTTGTGAAAAGCGAGAAGGGCAGATGGTCGGAAATGGTTTGCACGCCGTGGCACAACGGGCGAAGAGCACAAAAGAACCGCCCTCCCCCCGCGTGCTTCGGGGTCTCCACGGGCGCTTACGATATCGTAACGCGCACGCACGGAACACAAACGTCCATGCGACGGAACACGTTCGGGACGTGCGCGCCCGGTCCACCGGTAACGTACAATAAGATCGCCGCGCGTTCGTGCCACGGGATTCGTGCGACAATCGGATTGGCTAACACGATTCCGTCTCGTTAGAACAACAACGATCAACGTGTTCTCGTCACCGGGGCGAGTAGGCGAGTTCTTATCGTTTAATCATATTATTTCGGTTTCGGCGACCGTAAGCAACGTCCGTGTCGTATCCCGGGGATCATGTGCTAGGAAGACGATTTGTGTTTTGCGTCTAGTTCGCGTAATAAATAGGCCGCGTGCATTTTAACGCACCGCACGCAATATTACGCCGTCGCGTCTTCAACAACAATAATAATATACGTGCAACAGTGGACACCATTATACGAAACGTCTGCCGATAAGTCAGCGAAAAAAACATGTCATGAAAGCCCGACCATTGTACCGTGCGTACCGACATTATTTCTGAGCATATTCGTAAACGTGAAAAACGAAATGTTCTACGGTTTCCAGAAATGTTTCAATAAGAGTTAGAAATGTGTTTTTTTTTTTTTTTTTTTGATGGCACGTGTTATGCGTACGATCTCGACGACATCATTTGCCCGATCATCGATCTTTCGACGACTATCATAATATGCTTTCATGTCGAACTAAGCCCTTTTTTCTATTCGAAATACCAATTAGTACCAAGAGAATTCATTAACAATATACGAATCAGGGTCTAGACGCAATTCATAAACGCCTTATCTCGTTTTACTTTCTATTTTATCAAGAACAAATATTAATATTTGTTTTACGTATTATTTTAGGTTTATTTAAATATGTATAATATTATAAACACATTATTATCAACGCCAAGATATGGTAACCATTAAGTTATCTAACAAAATGAGTGGAACATTATAATTAACTCGAAAAATGGTTCTGAATTAAGAAACAAACATTTCTTTAATAATTTTTTGTTTCAATCATCAATAATATATTTGGAGTAACATTATAACTATATAACCATACAGATGTTTGACATTGAGGTGTTACACCATTAATAGTTATATATGTAGTTGCTAATCTTAAAATGTATTTATCTTCACGTTAATTAAAAAAGTATTGCCCACATTATCATTGATTTAACCATAATATATATCGAAATAAATTAATATCTAAATTACACCTAAAGTTAATGAATATAATAATATGCTTTTAAATTATTCTCAAATACCTAATTTAAAACACGTACAATTTATACCCAAGTTTCCTAATATTGTTGTCAATACATGAAAAAAAGACTATTAATTCCAAGTGTTAAGATATTTTCATAGTCTACGGAGAAACTGTTCTTTGATACAAAATATTTCAAATAAACTATCCAAACTGAAAATAGTTTATATCGCACATTTTTCAGGTATCTCTAAATATAACCATTATCACATGACTACCTGGCGTCTATAAATAAATATGATATATAACAATTGGGTACATTTATCATGCTCAATAGCATTAATAATTATAAATAAATAGATAATAATTATAACATAAAATGTTTAAATCTGTTATTTGTAAGTTATCAGCTTTCGTTTAGTATAAAACTCGTAATTATCAACAGTTTAGCATTATCTTAAAATATTTTGTTGGATTTTAAAAGTTTTAAATCTAAAAACTATCTAATTTAAACGGTCTACGAAAATGATCTATGGGAATCTAGAAAAAAAATTTAAAACTTCGTCTTGATTAATTTTCTTAAAAGTAATTTTATAATGACAAATATTAAATTAGGGATTTTCTTCGCAATTGGTTGAAAATAGTAAGAAATCGGTACACATAATTTGAAAAAATTACCTAAAAAGGAAAAAAATGACAAAAAACTTCAGAATAAAAATTAGTTATATAGATACGTGTGTAATCGAAACGCATTCTAAGTTAGGAAAACATAGACCACGATGTCCTAATCGGAGATAAAAAAGTCATCAACATCCAGGTCATATCTATAACGTTTCTGGTCTAAAAATAATCGGGTAATCCGAACTGGACGGATACTACGTTTAAGTGATGCACGTACTTGAATGACAGTGAAAATGTTCAGGGCGACTGCAACGTTCACGTACACGAACGGTTTTGAAGCATTCGAATGCGCCAATTGGTGAAGATGTTCAATGACTCGAAATCGATGACGATCAACGGACAGCGAAGCGGAACACACGAAACGTGCAAAGACGGTTAAAAATTGAAAATACACGACGAAGATCACGACAGCCGCAAGGGGACGAGTACAAGACGGACGCACGTTGTGAACTGATGTCTAATGTTTATTATTGTTTTGGCAAACCGGCGTTGACTGCAGCGAGCGCACTGCAGCAGGGTGGGAGGGATATACAATGGATGATTGACGGTGGCGAAGCGCTACCTATTGGAACAAAAGGTAAGGACCGCGTACAGCGATGTGAAATACCTACCTACGCTCCTATTATTATGTCTACGGCGAAAAAATCGCGTTGGCCACGTGATCAACAGATTTACCATTTGGACCGTTCAACAATCTAGTTCGAGTGATACTGCCCCTTAGTGGATTTGATGTCCACTTTGCTTCAAACGGTTTTCAGAGTTGTCCGATACAATAGTTGTGTACTGTTCGATTCGCTGTTGTCAAAAACGTAAATCTTTAATAATAAATAATAATCATTTAACGCGAGTAGTGTGAACCTATGTAAAAACCGAAATAAACGTGTTTGTATTACCATCCGGTGATAATATTAAGACGCGTATAATGATACACGTGTAAGTTTTCCAATAAAAGGTATATACGTCTGTACCTAAATGATAAATTTTTTTAAATTTCAAATTTCAAATCTGTATTTGGTTAACACCTTATTGATACAGCAATAATTTTAATAATATAATGTCGAAAACGTTTTTTAAGGTTAAAGCTATTCGAATCCTTATAAAATTGCTTGCAAAGGATAATAACAATGATTAACTGTTAATGATGTTTCAGATATACGTAGTTAATGAATCTAAGGAAGTAAGCGAATAAAAATAAATAAATTCATTATTTTACTATTCAAATATTATTAGATTAATAATATTAAAGTAACAAGTTTTATAAATGTATAGTCTCAATGGTTTTTCGTACATATTTTCAAAAAACTGTTCACATTCATAATTGGTTATTGATTTAATTACCAGTTATAATACTAATTAATTACTATACATTATGAACAACTTAAGTCTGTAATATTAAACCAGGCTTAAATGTTCAAAATGTTTTACAAAATTAAAGAACATAGCATTGTATAAAAAAATCACAGAAAATTACGAAAATGTTTAAGAAAAGAAAAGTTAGCTAAAATATAGATACATGATCAACATATAAGAACAATTCCTCACATTTTTAATAACTTTTCTAAATAATGTAAGCTTATAAAGTTTTATAAAACTGAATATACTTAATAATATTCGTATGTCCTATTACATATAAATGTAGTCCACAATAATTGCTAAAATATTTTTAATATAAGTTATTCTATATTTTAGTAATAACTAGTCTACTAAATATATATAGTTAATAAGTGGTAAAATCACGTAGTATAAAGTTTTTTCAACACTACATTCATCTCTAAATGACATTATAGGTATTCTGATCAGTCGAATTTCTTTCCCTTTTATAGAAATACTAAAATATAAATTTAATTAAAATATATGATACCATTTCCTATCAATATTCAAATTTTACCAATTCAATCTACAAATTAAATCATTCTAAATTCAAACTATGTTTTGTGGATCCATTATTCTCCAAATAATTATTTCATAATTATTTTAAAATATGCTTGATAAATAAATACAGATCTATTCAATGTCTATTTAAAAATGTAATATAATAGTGCGAGTCACAAGTATCTACATTTTTGATAGTTTTTAAGACATTTTTAAAATATCTAGATTCTGAGTTATTAATAAATGTATGAAATATAATATATATAATATATCAAGTACTAACATATAATTTTTAGATATATTATTAAAGTTCGTGCTGTCAGAAAAAATGATGAAAAATTAAAAAGGTTATGATTTCCTCTAATTGTCGTTTTCCAATAAGTATGATTTGTTTTTAAATTTTAAAAGTAAAGTAACTAGTTTAATAATTGCTTTTTGATATTAATTTTTAGATGGTCCAATTTATGAAATCCACGAATATCAGCTATTACGATTCAACAATTTGAATTAAAATTTTAATACTATTATTTATTTTTCATCATTCTATCACACCAACTATTAAAATTAAATAACCATGTTAGCGTACTTACATACAATTAATTTATACTAATTATTTTAATATTAGATAGATTTATTTAAATTATTATTAGTTGTATAAATAAAGGATGTATGTTTAACAAATTATCTTATATATATATATATTACAATACGATTAAGAATTGGTAAAAAAAATGGTTTTAAAAATGCTGATACTGGAATTTGGAGGTAAATTATTAAAGAAATTGGAGAGGTTGACTTTATATTTCGACGCTATGATTAATCATTGTATTTAAAAAACGATTATTTTAGCAGAGCTATAAAATAGTTTACAGTGTTTATAAACTGTATTTCTAGTATATTCACGGAAAAAAAAATTATTTGTCATGAATATAATTCTAAAATATCGTCTGACTAATTTGTTTTATTTACTATCAATATTTTTTGCTTGCAAAATAGATTCCTATATAATAATGTATAATATATATATAATCATATACATAATCACATAATCATCTTATATAATCAAATATAATATAGGTACGCATATAATATTCAATAAATATAATATGTGGTTTAAGTAAAAAAGAACAATCTCACTTTGAAAATAGTATAATCCTATACCAATTTTTTTCGTGTTAGAAGTGCATAATTTAAAACATCTAACACCATTATTTTACGTCATTTGAATAATTTAATTAATAAATGAGATTTTAAATTCCAAAATAACATTTAATGATAATGAATACGTAAAATCAGTTACAATATAATTATAACAAAAATAGTACTTGAAAAACACCTCGTTATCTCGATTACAACACATTTGTAACTAAAGTGTATAAGTAAATCATGTGAACAGCACTTTCACGAATTTTTCGTAAGTCAGAATTATATCGTTCAAAATATTAAAAAGAACCAAATAAAGGAAGTAAGAATTCAGTAAATTGTTAGGTTAATTTTGAACTTTGACCTGTTGATTTTCACAAGCATTTGAAATCATGATTATGAAAGTTAACAATTTATTTGGGATATAGCAATAGTAATCTAAGTTGTAAGATCAACTGTGTAGTCACATGAATTCCTGGTAGTTCAAGAGGGCACTAATCCGATGACACAATTGACCCGAAGAAAAATGAACTCATGTGATGGGTGGGTTTCATATGTTTACAATATGGTTACAACAATGGGTATAACATTATTTCAAAAGAAGGCATTCTTTACCCTCAAAAAATGTATTGAACCTATCTTATTCACGATTTATGTGAATGAATAGTGTTAGAAAATACGGTTGACGATACGAAGTATACTGTAGGGACATTTCTAGTATTTACAAATTATTTAAATAAAATTTCTAATTTTTTCTTAAACCTTTATGTAAACATTGTTCTCTTAATTAATACGATACATATCTAACCACAATAAAAATATTTATTTCCTTTTCAATTCACTTGTCACTAGAGATAATGATGAGGAAGATATAATAAAGAAACCAACGAAACCGAAGAAACTGATAAACCTGTGGGCAATGTATCAAATTAGTAAGAAGTAATCAAATAACTCAATTAAATGTTTTTACTGTTAAAAAGATGTCTTAGATGGTTTTAATTTATTAAAAACAGCAGAAATTAATTTAAAAAAAAATCTATGTAAATAATAAAAATTTAAAACAAACTAATATTATTCAATATTTTTAATTTTAATACTTACATATGTACATATTTATAATATACATAGCTTTTTAATTTGAAATTGTATATTAATATAAGTAAATAACTCTTTAATGTTGTATATGTTATTAATACATTTTTTGGTATATGCAGTTTAATAGCCGTCATCCGTAGGCTCGTATTTAAAAATTTGGCTCCTCCGGGCATATAATATATGCCCTCCCCCCCAAATAAATAACAATAATATAACACTTACTATTTCGTCCATAATCGAGATTCTTTAATATTAAAATATAACTTATAAATGAAAATCGTTTAATACTTTTTTTAATTAATAAATTAAATAAATTATAACATTATAAAACATACTATTTTCTTTTTTTTTATTGTTTTATTTTATTTTTTTCATTAGGAACATAATTTTTAAAATTCATTTTGCTAAAATATTGTGCCACCCCTGAGACTTGACGCCCCCGGGCATGTGCCTACCCGTGCCCCCCTCCCTAAATACGGGTTTGGTCATCCAGAAGAATCGCACTTCTATTAACGATCACTTCTATAGGACAGCCATCTCTAAATATCGGTCATTATTTTCAATCCCTTTGGTGACCATTAAATGGAAGTTTTACTGTATTTACATTATTATGTTAACATATGCATCTACCATAATAGTTTTGAAATTACATAACTACTATTATTTCTTCTTCTGTTCCTAAACCTAAATATATTTTATTATTAAGATTTGTATCCATTTATTTACACCACTAAATCATGATGAGGTACTATATCATACAATTTCAAAATTATTTTATAACTATACCATCAGTATTACATTACTACCATTATATTTACATTTTCATAGTCTGTATACAAAAATATTTATTATATGTTTTACTATGATTTATATTTTTAAATAAGTAGGTAAAATATAAATATTATATTGCCTTATGTAGGTGTAGCAATCAACACTGGCTACGCACTATCGCCAATACTGATAATGATTAATATTCAAATCGATCAGATAATGCAAAATATTTTAATATACAAATGATTTTAAATAATAATTATTTGCAATCATATTGAATTTGCTAAAAAAATTTATTTGGACGTACAATAATTCATAATATTTTATCTACATATCCCGACACACAATTATATTAAGACATTCATAAAAATAAAATAAATTAGACACCAAAACTATTTAATGTTTATATTATTTTATAAAATTTGTAATCATGGGGAAACATATTATTATGTTGTGTTATTATTATATTATTTCCATATTTGCATAAATTATTTCCAGTAATTCAACGGTTTAATATAATATTTCAAATTTAGTATTGCTTTGAGAAAACTTGGCCAAATATTAACTTTAAAATTATAAATTTATCATTATAGAATATAGAATAT